TCAGTCCCATGCTGGCTTCCCAGCTATCAGTATGGTGGCCTGTTAGCTCCTCCTTGTTCAGGTAAGCTCCTCCTTGTTCAGGTAAGCTGTCTCTATGTGTTTCTGCCACCTGGTCTTGTCCTCTCCCTCTGCATCTGAGTTCTACTTCGACTCAGTTTTTATGTATGGGTGTTTGCTTCTGTTTCCAACAGGCGTTAGTTGAGGGCTCCATGGATAAGTTAGTTGTTGATCTCACTCTCCAGGAAGGGCATTTATGATAGCCTTTCCACAGAAGCTCAAATTGTTAGTTGGCAGCAGTCTTGTAGTTCTCTAGACCTTTCTTTGTGTTCAGTTTTATCTTCAAACCAATATTGGCTCCCTATTTTATGTTCTCTCTCTCTTCTCTCTCTCTCTCTCTCTCTCTCTCTCTCTCTCTCTCTCTCTCTCTCTCTCTCTCTTTTTCCTGTCTTCTATTCCTAACCAGGCTAAATCTTCCTGGTCGCACATATTTTCCTTTCCTCCCCATCGTTTTCTCCTACTTCTCTCTCCATTCGCTGCCCCCCACTTCCCCTGAGCTCTGGGTGACTTGTCCATTACCAGTTCTGTGAGGGACTTTATATGAATCTCTTAGAATACACCTTGTATCCTAGTTCCTCTGGTGGTGTGAATTATAGGCTGGTGATCCTTTGATCTAGGTCTAAAATCCATATATGAGTGAGTATATACTGTGTTCCTCTTTTTGTGACTGGGTTACCTCATTCAGGATGGTTTCTTCAAGTGCCATCCACTTGCCTGCGAATTTCAAGATACCATTATTTTTTTTCTGCAGAGTAGTATTCCATTGTGTAGATGTGCCACATCTTCATTAACCATTCTTCAATTGAGGGGCATCTAGGTTGCTTCCAGGTTCTTGCTATTACAAATAGTGCTGCTGCTATAAACATAGTTGAACAGATGTCTTTGTTGCATGGATGTGAATCCTTTGGTTATATGCCTAAGAGGGGGATTGCTGGGTCCTGTGGTAAACTAATTCCCATTTTCCTGAGGAACCGCCATACTGATCTCCAAAATGGCTGTATGAGTTTGCACTCCCACCAGCAGTGGAGGAGTGGTCCCCTTTCTCCACATCCTCTCCAACATGAGTCATCATTGGTGTTCCTAATTTTGGTTAGAGTTACCCCAAGATATTTTATGTTGTTTGTGGCTATTGTGAAGGGTGTTTTTTTGTTTTTGTTTTTTTTTTTTAATTTATTTCTCAGCCCCTTTATTGTATGTATATATTAGGGCTACTGATTTTTTTAAAGTTAATCTTGTATCCTGCCACTTTGCTGAAGGTGTTTATCAGCTGTAGGAGTTCCCTGGTAGAATTTTGTGGGTCACTAATGCAAACTATCATATCATCTGCAAATGATGAAAGTTTGACTTCTTCCTTTCCAAGTTGTATCTATCCCCTTTTATCTCCTTTTGTTGTCATATTTGTCTAGCTAGAATTTTAAGACAATATTGAAGAGATATGGAGAGATTAGGCAGCCTTATCTTGCTCCTAATTTTAGACGAATTGCATTGGGTTTCTCTCCATTTAGTTTGATGTTGGCTGTTGTTTTCCTGTCTATTGTGTTTATTATGTTTAGGTAGATTCCTGTTATTCCTGATCTCTCTAAGACCTTTATCATGAAGGGGTGCTGGATTTTGTCAAAGGCTTGTTTAGCCTCTAGTGAGATGATCATGTGGTTTTTCTTTTTCAGTTTTTTTATATGGTGGATTATATTGATGGATTTTGATATGTTGAACCATCCCTGCATTTCTGGGATGAAGCCTATTTGGTCATGGTGGATGAATTTTGTGATGTGTTCTTGGATGCAATTTGCTAGCATTTTATTGAGTATTTTTGCATCAATGTTCATGCGGGAGATTGGTCTTTAGTTTTTCTTTCTTAGTTGATTCTTTGTGTGGCTCGGGTACCAAGGTAATTGTAGCCTTGTAAAAAGAGTATGGCAATGAACCTTCTGCTTCTGTTGTGTGAAACAATTTGAGGAGTATTGGTGTTAGCTCTTTTGTTGTTATGGAATATCTTGTTTTCTCATGTAGTCTGGGTTGGCATTGCTGGTCTCTTAGAGTCTGCATAATGTCTGTCCAGGACCTTCTAGCTTTGAGTGTCTCCTTTGAGACATCCTTTGCAGCTCTTTATATTCTTCTTTTATTCTGCATATTTTGTGTTTTAATTATTATGTAGAGAGTTCAGGCTATTCACTATTCTGTAATTTTCTTGTATCTTCATAGGCATTTCTTTCTTTCTGTTGGGAAAGTTGTCTTCCATGATTTTGTTGAATATATTTTCTGTGCCCTTAAGTTGGACTTCTTATTCTATCCCTATTATTCTTAGTTTTGGTCTTTTCATGGTGTCCTAGGCTTTCTGGACATTTTGTGTTATGACTTTGTTAGCTTTAATGTTTTTTTTTTTTTCACGGATGAATGAATTTCCTCTGTAGTATCTTCAATGCCTGTGATTCTCTCTTCCATTTCTTGAATTGTGTTGTTTATTCTTGCATCTGTAGTTCCTGTTCGTTTACCCAGATAAGTCATTTCCAGAATGCCCTCCATTTTGTTTTCCGTATTTCTTCCATTTCAGTTTTTAAGTCTTGGATTTAATTATTTTTTTTTCTTGGTTTTCTTAGCTTTTTAAAAACAATTTCTTGATTTCTTCCATTTTTGTCTTTTTTTCCATCTCTTTAAGGGAATTTCTTTAAAGGCCTCCATCATCTTGGGCAAGTTATTTTTAGGTCCTTTTCTTCTGCTTCTTCTGCACTGGAACGTTCAGGCCTTCCTGATGTAGTACCACTAGGTTCTAATGTTGCCATATTTCTCTTTAGATTGTTGAATGTATTCTTGCATTGACATCTACCCTTCTCTTCTTTCCATTGGTGAAGGCAGTGTCTTTGCTTCTTGATCTGATTGTCTCAGTACACTCTCTCAGTCCTCTCTGTTTAGTAGATGTCTGTGTCCCAGGGAGCCCTTGGGGTCGCAGGGGATGGGTGGGTTTGGGGGTTGAGTGTGGGGGCAGGGGGCTATTGGTATAGCCTGCTTGCAGGAGTCTTTTCTGCTTACTGGCTAGTGTGACTGTGATGGGTGGGGGAAGGGCCTGGGGTTTTGTCCCAGGACCTAGGCCTGAGGGGCTGTTTGATCCCAATGGAAAACTGGTTACTGACCTCTCAATGCAGTACCACTCTGTGCAGTAGATGGCTCTCTTCCAGGGAGAACTATCCGTGTTTCAGAAAGTCCCTGAATATCTTGAGAGGAGGGTTTTGAACATCTAGAGGGAAAGGGTATTCCAGAAAACCTTTGTGCTTAAGATCTTTAAGCTAAACATGCTACCTATGATGAAAGCTTCTGTCTGTAGATGGATGGGCAGAGGAAAGTGAAGTGGAAAGGACAACTGTGCAGCCATGCCAGGGACCTTCTTCAGTCACTGCATGGAGGTGCAAAAAGTAACTCTAGAGGAGGTGAAAAAAGCAATGGCATATTTTCTGATGACTTTGATGGATAATGTGGGACTAGTCTCTGTCTCTCATACAATCTCTCACTCTCTTCCTTTCTCCCCATCTCTCTCTCTCTTGACAACTTTGTCTGCCTTTGTATTTTCTGGAGCTCATGTTCAGGAGGCTAGAGGATTGAATGGCCGCTGACTGGCAGTGCTGCAAGCACATTATTTAGTATCCTCTTTTTGGAAACAGTTTCTTCACTCCCATGCACTAGGAAGCTTAACTTGATGACCCCCCCACACTGGTTAACAAGTGTGGAGTATTTCTTTCTGCAGTTGTCCCCTCATGCCTGAACATATGGAGCATAGGCTGCCTACCTCAGCATCCACTGTTCTCTGACTGCTTTTCAAGACTGTGGAAATGCAGTCATTGTGGACAGAGTTTGGCCAACTCCACCTTGCTGCTATCTGCAGGCAGAGATGTGACTCACCTGTCCCCATCTGTGAGTGACTCTAGACTTTTCTCTCTTTCAATGATGCCAACCTTACCCAGGTTGTTCAGTACCCCTTTTGTTTTACTTCCCACGTTTCACATTCCTTGCACTTGGGCAAGGAGACACTTTTGTATAGCACAGCAGTTTACACCTATTCAACATGCTTCCAGGAAGCAGTAAGCACACCCAATTGAAAGGATCAAAAACCTGGAATTGCAGAGGGCAAGAGTGGAGTTTGGCTGTGGTTGGCACAGGCCATTTGATAGGTAGGTCTAGGAATACAGGAGGTAAAGGCAAGACCACATTCAAATAGTTGATTGAGCACTACTCAGCTCTCGGTACTATATCACAACATCTATGGCCGGAATTTAATGACAGGCAAAATTCACTTTTAGGCTATTGTCTAAGCTCACATGTTACTACGTAGGAAAGAGATACCCCAGAGTCAATGAAACACCCTTGTCAAGATTCTTTTATTCTCATCACAAAAAGAGAAATTTTGTTGTGAGCTCAGTGTATGTCATAGAAATATTCCTACGGCATCTGAGTAGCTTCTAGGGCAGCATGGCATGTCAATGATTAGTAGAGTGACAACCAGAGACTTGCATGTCCTAGGGGTCAAATCTTTTTAAGCCCATAAAATTCTGCCCTGCAAGTCCATATAAACTTCTTTGACACTGTCCATACATTGCAGTAGAGTTGCCTTTGTATATTGGGGGTAAGGGGAGCAAGGAAAAATCAATGTTGTTCACTCTTCCTCATGAGCTGTCAGGCAAGAGAAGGAGTACCAGCTGCCATGCCAGGAATGCTGATGATGTGCCAGGCCCTGTGCTATTCTCTCTGGACATGTATCAACTCATGTAACCCTCCAAAGAAGCCTGGGAGGTGGACCTGTGTTGAAGATGAGAGACAAACAAAGTGAGATGAATAATCATGAGCTTTCTTTCTTGTCTTCTCACCTCTTGTTACAGTCTGGATATTCCTGGCTGCACATACTCCTCCTGGCTATCGCCTAGTTATTCCACAAGCCTCCACCTTTAATGTTCTTCCTGGAACCAGGGCTCAGTGTGGCCTCCAGCTCAGACTAGACTCCCATGGATCCTCTGCAGAAATGGGATCCATTGTTGATTTCCATGCCCTCCCGAATGGCCATTGTGACAAGCTCCCAAGAAGCCTCAGCAGGCTCTCAGCCTTCCTCCTCCGAAAAGCTAAGCATGGGTCTCGGTGGTCTGAGCCTCAGCCGCAGCCCTGGTCCAGGCGTTCCTGCTCCTCTGTCGGAGGGTCTTCTCCAGCATCAGGCGCGCGAGAAGAAAGCCCTGTGGCAACAGTACTGGGAAAAGCAGGGCTTTCCTCAGAGGAAGAAAGTCTTCCTCAGGCACTCGAGACGCTGGCACCGGGATCACATGGCACCTTACCTGCTTGAACGGGATGTCAGAGGCTCTCCTGCAGGCAACAAAGCTCAGAATCTGCTCCGATGCCAGGGCCACGTGCCGAACCTTGCTGGGATGAGTGGAGAGAGGAATACAGCTACCAACCCTCCCTCCTGGGAAATGCTAGTGCAGGGCCTCAGTGGCCTCACCCTCAACCTTGGAGCCAACAGACCCAGCCCCCTGCCAGAGGGGACTGGGGAGCAGCAGGAGCCAGAGCAGATGCTCCCACTGGAGAGGCAGCAGGAAAGCAGGAGGATGTTTCAGAGGATGCTCAAGTAGAGGATGGAAGAAGCTTGATGAGCTGCCTCCCAGAGGATGGAGGTGAAGTCGGACTCAGACAGTGCTGTCTGGCCAGCTCAAGGGCCTGGGCTCTCCTGAGGTTAAGGCAGTCAGCTGCCTTTGGATGAGTCCCAACAGTTGTGCCATTATGGGAATTGTCCTAGGAAAGGCTTCAACTATCCTGCTTATGTCTTTTCGCATGCCTTTGTGGGTGTGGTGGTATGAGTTAGCCTATACAAAATGAAATTGGGTACCAAGAATCCCTGAACCCCCATGATATGATTCACACACAGAATTTTCACTCATTTTCCTTGGAACTCAGTGCCTCCATTTTTCTGTTAAGAAGAACTAACTTCATGTGTGTATATATTTGTATATATGTGTACATATGTATATATATGAATGTATATATATATACTTATAAGACATATATGTGTGTGTATATATATATGTATATACACACACACACACACACACACACACACACATATATATATATATATATATATATGTCTTTTATATGCCTTCTTGATGTCAATTTATTGAGTGCCCCCACAAAAGGAATTACAGGTACAATGGCATGCATGTTCTGGATAGGAGAGACAGATTCACTTGCAACTTCCAGAAGTTGAAGCTAGGGAATGCAGGCTTTAGGCAGCTACCCAATGTTCTTTATTAACTAAAACATCCAATGGTGTGAGCCTACATAGAAGAAGAGATTTCTTACCCATACCAGATTGTGGATCTCTGGAGAAATTACCCATGTGATCACTAAATTATTGTCATAGCAAAGGTTGACTTGGAATTTCATTAACTGTGTGTCACACCTGACCCACTCACCGCCCCCAACCCAGACTTGTCATGTGGTCAATAAAGTAATTTTAAGACACACAGGCAGAAACAGGAAAGGCATAGTTTCATTTAGACAGGGAGGCAAACAGATGAGAGGCTCAAGTATGCATTCTGGGGTCAGCATGGACAATCCAGGGAGTTGGTAAGACTGTACTGAAGGAAGGTTTGCATGGCATGATTATGGTGCCAGACATTGGTGATAAACGTCATTATCACCAGGAACTGGTGAATATGTGTAGGGACTAATTTCTGGAGTCCCATGTTTTCCAGTAATCCCAGTATATATAGCTGTGGCCTAGGTATACAGGTATTATAGACTGGAAGGTGGGGAGGCCAGTTTGCCCTTAAGTTTCCTCTTACTTGTCTCGGGCCAGCAGTTGAAAGTATCTTATGGGTTAATTAGTGGTAGTATTGGGGATCTGTGCTTGCTCTGTATTTCTCAGCTGCTAAAAGACTCTGATGATGCAAGAGAACAGCCAGGAGGGCAGAATGCACCCCTCATTAATTGTCAAGATGACCAGCAGTTCACCTGCCTGTATGCCACACTGGTGGGGTGGAGTGGGGTGAGGTCTTATTCAATTGAGGGAGTTTGGTATTGCTTCAGGTTGCTGCCTAGCAACCACTCTGCAGTGCCCTGTGTGTAGCTTCTGAATGAAAGAGGGTGGAGGCCTGGAAACACACACCTACCAGCCATTATTGGGTGCCTTGATAGCTCTGAGGGTGAAGGCATCCTGGCAGGGTAATTCTTCTTCCTTGTCATTTGACCATGAGAGGCAGAGCCTGTTGTGTACTAGGCAACAAGGGGATAATCTGTGAGACATGTTACCGGCTGTGCTGTTTGTAGTCCTTCATTCTCACGTGCCCCCTGACCTGAAGTTGCTGTATCTCTGTCTAACCAGAGGGATGTGTTAGGGTGTGCAAGTGCATTTCAACTTGCGTTAAAATGTTTTGCTGTTTTCAAGTGTAGTGTCCTGTGCTTGTACCAGATGGTATGAAATGCCCTCTTCCAAATGTGAAAACATGTTCTTTTCTATGACCACCTGCCTTCTGTTGTTAATGTGGACTGGAATGTAAGCATGTGGTTTTGTCAGAGATTTTGAGAAGTGAAGGAACTGTATCTCCACCCTAATCCATGAGACAACGTGTTTGTTCAATACATTGTGAGTTTTGTACCACATTGTCTAAGCCATGCTACTGACCATATGACCAGTAAAATTTCCATTACAGTTAAGTTGCCTGATACTTTGAATATTTCTCCCTTTTGAAACAGCAATGCTTATTTTTTCCCTTTTCAAAGGGGATCTCTCTCTCTCTCTTTCTCTCTCTCTCTCTCTCTCTCTCTCTATATATATATATATATGTATATATATAGTTTTTTATTTAAATTTGAAACAAGCTTGTTTTACATATCAGTCCCAGTTCCCGAACCTTCTTGTCCTCCCCTGTTCCCCCACCAACACCCATCCTATCCCCTTTCTGCTCCCCAGGAAGGGTGAGGCCTTCCATGGGGGATATTCAAGGTATCATATCATTTGAAGCAGGGCCCAGGACCTCTCCCATGTGTCTAGGCTGAGGGAGTATCCCTCTATGTGGGATGGGCTCCAAAGTCTATTTGAATACTAGGGATAAATACTGATCCACTACCAGATGCCCCACAGACTGCCAAGTCCTCCCAACAAACACCACATTCAGAGAATCTAGGTCAGTCCTATGCTGGTTTCCCAGGTCTCAGACTAGAGTCCATGAGCTCCCCCTTGTTCGGGCCATCTGTTTCTGTGAGTTTCTCCAGCCTGTTCTTGACCTGTTTGCTCATCACTCCTCCCTCTCTGCAACTGGATTCCAGGAGTTCAGCTCAGTGTTTAGCTGTGACTGTTTGCTTCTGCTTCCAGTAGCTACTGGATGAAGGCTCTAGGATGGCATATATAGTAGTCATCAATCTCATTATAGGGGAAGGGCATTTAAGGTAGCCTCTCCACTATTGCTTAGATTGTTAGTTGGAGTCATCTTTATAGGTCTCCGGACATTTCCCTGATGCCAGATTTTTCATAAAACCTATAATGGCTCTTTATATTATGGTTTCTCTTTTCTTGCTCATCTCTATTCTTTCCATGACTCAATCATCCTGCTCCATCATGCTCACCTCTCCTCTTCCTCCTAACTCCCTCTCCCAAGCTCCCAGTTTGTTTGGGAGGTCTCGTCCCTTTTCCCTTCTCCAAGGGATCATGTATGTCTCCTTGTTTACTAGCTTTTCTGGCACTGTGGATTGCAGGTTGGCAATCCTCAAAGGGGATCTCTTGTAGTAGGTGCTGTGTTTTCCTCCTGTCACAACTTCCTCTACCTGATTCTTCACCTATCTGGCAGACCTACTGATCTCCCTTCTGCATCCAACATTGCTAGATGCCATTCTTCAGAATATACAATGGCAAAGCTTCAAATGGAGATGGCAGAGTAGGAGAGTCATGGAAGCATGTGCTAAGGTTAACCTCAACAAACAACACATTCTGCTGTGACTTCTTGGCATGGAAGATGCAGGAACTTTGGGCAGGATGACCCAGGCTCAGCCACCAGCCTCATTGCTCCACTCTGTGGAAAACTCCATATGTCATGCAGATAACAACACTGAGGGTTTGGTCAAGAACTCTGTCAGAGGCATCTTTGTGGTGCCTGGAACCCTCAGCCTCCTAGCTTTCCTTACAGGTTGGTCTTCTGTGGGAACCCTTTGCTTTATCTTCAGTTGTTTGAGTCCTGTGGATGCTCTCACTTGGCCATGACTACTGACTGATCATTTTTGCCTCCTTTAATTTCAGTTTTGTCCTGCTCCAGGGGTTGAAGTTTACAGTTATCTATGAGTGCTGTATAATCGAGTGCCTGTCTATGTGTGCGAGTATGGGCACTCATGCCTGTGTGGGCGAAGGTGGGAGGTTGATGCTGGGTGGCTCTCCATCTTGTGTTTTGAGACAGATTTTTGCTAGGATCCTGGAACTCAGCAGTGTGGCTTGGTGATCTAGATAGTGAGTGCCAGTAATTCTCTCTTCCTAGTAGCGCTAGTATTATGGGCATGCTCTGCAAGGCCTGGCTTTTGACCAGGCCTTCAGGTCTTCATGGCTATGATTCAGACACTTTACCAGCCACCGGGATTCTCAGCTGTGAGCTGTACAGTTTTAATTAACTTCTATCTACCTTCAAATAATACCAACCATTTCCTGAGTAGTGAAGCCACATTGTGTTCCCACTGACACACACTGTTTGGTGGACTGTTTGCTGAAGGAGCAAACCGGGATATGTTTCTCACACTCACAAGACATCAGGCAGCATCTTCATGAGCCATTTCCAGTGCCTTAAGAGTGTAGCCACTGATCTCAAAACCTCAAGTGTGTTTCAAAGGCTGGGTGTATAAGAGAGACTCCAATTATGCCTTGATTGCAGTTGTCATGGTGATGCATTTGCAACATATGTCATCAGTGCAGCATAATTTACCTGTATGATTGCATGGTGCTAACCACTGCCAGCCATTTTAAAAGAGACAGACATTCCCGCACTGCGCCATTCTGATTTTCTCTCACGAGAGGTTGCAGAACCTTGTTCTTTAAATGCCATGACTGAACTTGAGGCCCCACGAGGACTCTGGACAGGAGGTGGTGGCTGAGGTGTAGGTTGTTAATTTCATCCTGAAGCCACTGTGCCAGAGGAAGTCAATAACCTGAGAGAAAAAGAGATTTCCCTGATAGGATGGAGTGAGGGTGGTTGCCTAGGTTACCAGGAGAGAAAACCAGGACTCACATGACCAGCCTCTTTCTGCAGGATCCAGGCCTGAAGTAAGAGTGTGGGGTCATGCTTACTATTTCAGAGCCTTCTCAACAATAGGACTTTCCTGAATGTGGTCTGAGTCTGTGTGTGACAAGCAAAAACACAGAGCACAAGGACACAGGATTTGCACACAAGCTATGTCATTCATTGATTTTCAATGAGAGTGTGCAGATTGGCAGACACGTCCTTCCTTGTGCTAAGAATTAGGGTCTGTGAGATTCTGTGTGGCACTAGTACTCATCCCCAGATGCTATTCTTTCTGTGCTGGTGGCCCTGTCATGGTGCATGTGCAGGGAAATTTCACACAAGTGCTGAAATGCAACATTGGTTAGATTCCATGGTCTGATAGTCACATAAAGGAATTCTCCAGATTGGAGACAGCACCTCTCTCTCTCTCTCTCTCTCTCTCTCTCTCTCTCTCTCTCTCTCTCTCTCTCCCTCCCTCTCCCTCTCTCTCTCTCTCTCTCTCTCTCTCTCTCTCTCTCTCTCTCTCTCTCTGTCTTATGTCAAGGAACCAAGGAAATGGTGAAACTTCTCACACAATATATTCACTCAGGATGTAGCACTAATTTAAGTGGCGTTAAACATGTATGTATGTATATATGAATGTATGTGTGTATGTATGTATGTGTGATGACCTCACTGTCTGTGAAACCTAGTAAGCAAAAAGACCCTAAGGAAGGCATATAAGGATCTGCCTAGTTAGG